TGTCCACGTTTTTCTGTAACCTTCCTGAATCCTCGCTGGAGAATACAGTAAAGAAGTTTTGGGAAATTGAAAGTGTTCCCGATGTCGGTTCATCTAATCCGGAAGATATTTTATCGGAAAAAATATTTTTGGACACAGTTTCCCGTGACGCTTCTGGTAAATATATTGTATCACTGCCTTTTCGTGAAAATTCACCTACATTCCCAGGAATGCGTGCCTTGGCCCTCACTCGCTTCTATTCGCTTGAACGTCGTCTTTTGAATCAACCTTCGTTATATTCCCAATACTGCGATTTCATGCGCGAATATCTTGACCTCAAACACATGGAGCCTATTTCCACAAAGGAAATTTCTAGTGATTCATATTATTTAGTACACCACTGTGTACTCAAACCAGAGAGCACAACCACAAAACTCCGGGTAGTTTTCAACGGAAGTGCCAAAAGTCCTAACAAAAAATCGTTAAATGAATGTCTCATGACAGGTCCCAAATTGCAACAAGATATTTCTATTATCCTATTGAATTTTCGCTTACACCCATTCGTTCTGTGTGCTGACATTCAAAAAATGTACCGAATGATTTGGTTAGAGTCTGCACAGTGTGATTTCCAACGATTTCTTTGGAGATTTTCGCCAGACGATGAGGTTCAAGATTTCCGTTTGAAGACCGTCACTTATGGCCTAAGTCCTGCACCATATCTTGCTTTGCGCGTTTTACGTAAATTGGCTGAAGATGATGGGGCGAAATTTCCGCTCGCAGCGGATGCAATCCTTAATTATTCGTATATCGACGACTTCGTGCTCAGCGCCCCGACTATTGAATATGCTCACACTCTTCGTTCAGAATTAATCGACCTCATGCGGAGAGGGGGTTTCGAGTTGAGGAAGTGGTCTAGCAATGATCCGCGTCTTTTGTCCGGTTTACCAGAATCGCATCTTTCCACCAAACCGCTGAATTTTGACGGCGACGGTGGCTTTTCTGACTCCTCAATCAAGATACTGGGGCTACAGTGGAACCCCGCGCAAGATTGTTTCTTTTTTTCTGTAAAAGTATCAGATGATCGACCTTGCACAAAACGGACTATATTGTCTGAGTTATCCCGCCTATATGATCCAGTCGGGTTCGTTTCGCCTATAACATTTTTTTCGAAACACCTTGTCCAGACGCTCTGGAAAACTGGGATAGGCTGGGACGTCATCCCTAACGATGAAATTGTCGAAATTTGGAATCAGTATAAATCTGAGCTCCCCTTACTATGTGGATTACGCATCCCGCGTTTAATAATATCCTCTCCTATTTGCGACTTGCATGGATTTTGCGATTCCAGCGAGAAGGGATACGCCTGTGTTGTATATGTTCGTACTATAGAACCAAATAATGACATTTCTATAAGTTTCCTAGGGTCTAAATCTAAAGTTGCCTCTTTGAAGAAGGTCACAATTCCAAGACTCGAATTGTGCGCTGCTGTGTTGCTTAGCAAATTTATGAGCTTCTTATTGAACACTCTAACAACCAAAATTCCAATTCGTAATATTTTTGCTTGGTCAGATTCGCAAATAGTTCTCCACTGGATAAATGGTGCTCCTCATCGCTGGACTACTTTTGTTGCGAACAGAGTCACATTTATCCAAGAAAAAATTCCGCCGTCATCTTGGTTATATATTGATAGCAAAAATAATCCTGCGGATGTTGCATCCAGAGGCCTGCTACCCTCCGCTTTAATTTCGCATTCTTTGTGGTTCCATGGACCACTCCTATTGCGCAAACATGAAATTTCCAAATTCTCGCCTCCCTCGCCATTTTCATACCCCATTGAGGAAGAGCGAAAACTAGTTCTTTTCGCCTCTCCACAATTAGAATCGATTTTAGAGAACATGCTTGACAGTTATTCCGATTTTAAATTTTTACAACGCGTTACCGCCTATGTTGTAAGATTCTCGGAGAATAGTAGAAAAAATCATCCCGAACGCAACTTGGGACCACTATCAAATTCAGAACTAGATGCTGCCTTACGCTTCTTGATCAAGTACACACAACATAAATATTTCTCTAATGAATTAGAAAGTAACACATTTTCACGACCTTTTCGCAAGCTAGACGCTTTTCTAGATACCTTTGGGATTTTAAGAGTCGGAGGTCGCTTGAAACATTCACTTTTGCCGCATGATGCTAAGCACCCCATGATTTTACCACGTCAAGGTCGTTTGACATGGTTGCTCATCAATTATTACCATTTGAAATACTTTCATTCTGGGTTTCGTACGACTCAATATTTGCTGTCACAAAAGTTTTGGATTATGTCATCCAAAAGGGCCATTAATTCGGTTTTGTCTAAGTGTGTTCCTTGTTGGAAAAATAGTCCCAAACATTATCAGCCTCGTATGGCCTCGTTGCCCTCGCCGAGACTGTCCCAAGTTAAACCATTTCTTAATTCAGCGGTTGATTTCGGGGGACCTTATTACATAACGTTCAATCGCCATCGTGGTGTGAAAACTTGCAAGGCTTACATATGCGTCTTTGTATGTCTATCGACAAAGGCAGTTCATTTAGAACTTGCTAGTGATCTTTCTTCAGAGGTTTTCCTAGCGGCCTTGCAACGATTCATCTCACGACGAGGTCGAGTTACTACCCTATTTTGTGATAATGCTACAAATTTCACAGCAGCTAGTAAAGAAATCGCTCTGATGAAATCTGCTGCCCAACAAGAAACCATAACTTTTCAGTTTTCCCCTCCGGCCGGTCCTCATTTCAACGGCCTCGCTGAGGCTGGTATTAAATCCGCCAAACGTCATCTATCTAAAGTTATTGGAGAACAGATCTTGACGTTTGAGGAATTTTATACTGTCCTCACCTTGATCGAAGCGATTTTAAATTCTCGCCCTCTCACCCCTATTGGGTCTGATATCGAAGATATTAATGCGCTCACCCCAGGCCATTTCCTCACTCTGGAACCTCTCTCCCCGTTGCCCACACACGACTTCACCGCGACGCCCATGAATCGACTTTCGCGGTGGCAATTGCTACAACGTTTACATAGCGACTTCTGGCGACGATGGAACCGCGAATATCTGCATACTCTACAGCAGCGTGGTAAATGGCTGGATTCGGGCATATCCCCTGCTCTAGGTACGTTAGTTCTTGTCAAGGATGAAAATAATCCACCCTGTAAGTGGACTCTAGCCAGAATAATCAAGTTGCATCTCGGCGATGATCAAATTTGCAGAGTGGCCACTATAAAGACCGCGACGGGCAATCTGAAACGACCTCTTGTGAAGCTTTGCCCACTTCCGGTCGATGATTGAAATTATTATATAATATAATTTTCCTTTTTTTTTTATCGCGCTTTTTTTTTTTTTTTTTTTTTTTTTTTTTGAGCTTATCAATTATTGAAGCAAATCCAAGGTATAGTAGATAGTATGAGTTTTTATTTTTGTTTATTTTCTCAAACAAAATGCACATGCGACTTTGGTTACTTTATATTATTTATACATGAGATATAAATAAACATGGATATATTTATTTATATATTTCTTTCTACTTTTCTTTTTTTTTGCGTAAAAAAATGCTATGATGCATTTTGCCGGGGCAGAATGTTGTGGAACTAGTAATTTTTCTCACATTTGTTAACGATTCAAATTATTCGCGCGCAAAGTATAGCACCAGGAGATCATACATCGCTGTCCGGTTGTCACATGACCTACGCAAGCTCAACAGGTGCCTCAGAGCACTTTTTCGTGAGCCGTCGTGTCTAGCGAACGGGATATACCGCGCCATGATCACAACCTGATCATTTTTCCTTGAATATGATAAAACTCTACAAACATTTTTACCTTCGGTCCCAACATTCAGTGTTCCGCAGTTAATCGATGTGAGTGTTGTATTGTGTACCCCGTCAAGACAGACTCAGTGTTGAGTGGAGCTCACGTGGAGACCGGCCTCTCTAAAGCCGCATTGTGGACTACCTCAAACCTCATCCAAAGGGGCCCTTTGCACTCCTAGCTGCAAACAATCAACCCACAGCCAAGTATCGACCACTCTGTAAGTCTCTGAGTGCTATACGCCTTAATTCTTGGATATAATTGCAATTCATTAATTCCCGCCAAAAAGTTCAACATTTTTCTATCTGCTCAAAATTCCTTTTCCTCGCTATTTTATTCGCTCCGCAACAGGACATTTGAACGGAAAAACGTGATAACACGGCGCCCGAATTATTGTTGGCGTTGTCTTATCATACAAAAAAATCGATTTACCTGAATCCGGTGGAAAGTTAAAGGTTTTCATCCAGGTCGAAATAGGTTCATCCGTACGATCTTATGGCATTTATTTTTGTATGATTTTTCTGAATCTGATGAAATTTTTCGACAAAAGTGAATGGTTTCAATAGAGAAACTTCGCTGCCAAAGTTTAGCAAATTAGGATGAATGGGCGTGTACACCTTAGTAGAACTTTTAACTCAAACCATGTTTATAATGATCCTTTTATACATAAATAATGATTGAAATATTTTATTTTAGGACATAAATAATAGAACCTTCTGAAAACGGACCCTCTTATGACGTAGAAAGCTCATCTCGCCATTGTTAGAAGAAAATACCAAACGCTCGACGGAGACTGAGGCAACTGATATATTAATTCTTTCAACTGTGATCTCGCGCTGATTCACTCTGTCAGAAATCATGTATCATTCGTCTCTGTCTGGAATATATAGTCTTGTTTCAGTATTGACGTCACATCATCGCCTCGTTTTCAGAGGTCCGAAAAATCGGGGATATCAATAATTTTTTATAAAACGTAGGGAGCTCACAGCAAGAAACGGTTTGCTTGGTAAGCTAGTTTGGGTGAGTTCTATCGAATTATGAAATGATTATTTTTGTGATATAAGCCCATTATAATACCCTGAATGGCCAGAAACATTTTTTATATATAACTCGTCTTAAATTCTCCTATTTTTCATTTGGCTATGTGAGTCTCCTCATGAATCACCCTGTATAGATACTTACTATTGCTGTAACACCAGATATTATAGTTCCTGTCCTCAAAGATCCACAAGCACAGCATGACTTTAGAATGTACTTCGCCATTCTTCACGATATCCTGAAACAAATAGAAAGAAATAATAAGTGTTACTGGTGTACCTATAGTAGGAAGGCCAGCTGCAAATTTCGACCGTCATCAAATAACGAAATGTTGTCCCAAAGGCTGTAAAATCATGATATTCTATCGAACAGCACTTGAGAAATTGCACTTTTCTGTGTGGTTATTGGCACTCAATTTCACGATTTGTAGGAACTGTCAACTGTAATTTTCGTGTTTTGTATCAGAATTATTCAAATAATTTTCGTTTGTATCAAAATTCTCCATTGAAAATATATGCGAAATGTAGACGAAAGTGGAATCGAAGAGAATGTTTTGGTACTTGCATATCTCCAAGAAGTGTAAAAATGAAGCATCCATCTTTGATTTATTCTGCGCTAAGCATGACAATAAATGTTAAACAAAGGTTAGTGAGCAATGGACTGAATAACACATCACAACCAATATCACGTATACGTGTCTCGCTGGTTGCATATAGTTGCATGTATTATGTTCTCAATTCCCATTCCTTTCGAATACTTTTGTAGGTTAGCAGGAATAGCAGGTATGTTAAAGTAATTTTCGTAGTTCGTAGAAAAAGCATAGTATGTAACGCGTTCATAAACTCTTCTAGACACTCGTTCATTAAACGCTCGTTCCGCTCTGCTCCGCTCGTGCTTAAAATACTCGTTACTAAAAGGACGTTTATAACACTAGTTACATAATATACTATTTATGCTCCGTGAACGTGAGATTGTTTAACAAAATAACACTTCGTTCTGAGTATCATCTCATAATTCTGTCTTTCATTGAATTGCCGTGTTGCCGAACAGCAATACCATGAGTCCATCACGACGACATAATATCTGAGTATATAGGTATCGAATATTTCCTGAGAACTATATTTCTTAGTGAAGAAACGAAAATATCGCCATCGTACCTATTTATGCTCCGTGAACGTGAGATTGTTTAACAAAATAACACTTCGTTCTGAGTATCATCTCATAATTCTGTCTTTCATTGAATTGCCGTGTTGCCGAACAGCAATACCATGAGTCCATCACGACGACATAATATCTGAGTATATAGGTATCGAATATTTCCTGAGAACTATATTTCTTAGTGACGAAACGAAAATATCGCCATCGTACCTGATTTTATGATGGGGTCCAAGAGGTCAGGAAACAAAAGATGTGGTAGAAGTACCTACAAATTCTTACTCAGATCACAGCTGATTTTTAAGAGGAAGGGATTCCTTTCCGCGTCACAACAAAGATCCAAGTCGATTCGGTTTCCATAATAATATTTTCAAAAATAGCATATTGATGCATATTATCGAGTGATGAGTATGTTCATCAGAAACAGGTCGACCTCCCATATTCTCAGTTCATTTCGGTAATTACAGAAAGGTCAATTGAATGACGTGTTTCATGAAACAGAATGACACAATGAAGCGCAACAAAACGTTTTCTAAGTAATATAATACTCCAGTGAAAATTGAGATGAGTAAGTACCTTTGAGTAATTGATGAAGTTGAGGATGAAATAATCGCTGCTAGAATTAATTGTTAATTTCGAGAGACCCATAAATTAGAAAAATTCGTATTGAAACATTTTTCTTGTTATGGCTATCGGGTTTTATCTTCATCAAGATTCGAAGAGGAATGACCAACTTTGATACATCTCATATAAGATGGATTACTCTAAGAAAATTCTGAATACGCCACTGTCAAAGAATACAAATAAGTCTGGTTTCCTTATATCTGACTCAAGAAGCAGTATTACCATAAACTGTCACTGATCATGGTGGAATTTCAAAAACAGGCAAGTGCAATAAGCTGGTGGCCTTGTGACGTCATACATCGTGTTTGAATGTGAATATCCATAAATTGTTGTTCGCGGACAAGAACAAGAATAGGGAGTTCATAGTTTCATGAAAGAACTCTTCAGACAACACGTCCACGTTCAGGGCATATTTCACAAGCTCTTCATAATTGACCACTAACAATGCTCAACCTTCCATTTAACATACAATCCCTCAGACGGAGCATTTCGAAATTTTGAGAGTTGTTTGAGAAGCTTTCGGTGTGTGAGACCGCTGTTGACGTAGCAAACGTATACAGTGTGTCCCACTTACCATGCTCACCATGGGTATCTTTTTAACTGTGAGAGATACGAGGTCGGTTAAATGACACCAAATGTGGAGTTTGTCAAGGCCAACTATAATGTGAAAAAATATTTTGATGAAATCTATTCGTTTTTGTTTTATACGCAAAAAACAGATTTTGATCATTTTCATGTCTCCTCCGTAACTTCTTTATTTATGAAAATATTCAAATAGGAATTTCACATTCTCATGGCAGTTTTTCAAAGTGATTTCGAAAAAAATATGAAATTTATACCAACTCTTCTAGAATTTGAGATATCAGCACCAACTTTAGTTTTTCAAATGTGGGTCATAGCTCACTATGACTTAGTTACAAATAACTTTTTTTTCTCTTTCAGATGATATGTCGCAGTAATAGTTTTGTGTTGATAACAACGGAGTTATCGTCATTTATACAAAAACAAAAAATTATTTGGAAGCCGCCATCTTGAATTTATGAATTTCAACAAGAAAATCATGATCTCCGACCTTGAAAACCCCCACTTACTAATTTTGAATGGAATCGGACCAAATCTTGTCCGCCATCTTGGAGCGGCCAATTTTTTTTAATTTCAACAAAAATTCCATAACTCCGATTAACTTGAAATTTGACAGGTTTTCATAATTTCGATGACAATACATTATGGAATTTTTGTTGAAATTAAAAAAAATGGCTGCTTCAAGATGGCGGAGAAGATTTGGTCCGATTTCATTCAAAATTGGTGAGTGGGGGTTTTTGAGGTCGAAGATCATGATTCCTTCGTTGAAATTCATAAATTCAAGATGGCGGCTCCCAAATAATTTTTTGTTTTTGTATAAATGACGATAACTCCGTTGTTATCAACACAAAACTATTACTGCGACATATCATCTGTAAGAGAAAAAAAAGTTATTTGTAACTAAGTCATAATGAGCTATGACCCACATTTGAAAAACTAAAGTTGGTGCTGATATCTCAAATTCTAGAAGAGTTGGTATAAATTTCATATTTTTCTCGAAATCACTTTGAAAAACTGCCATGAGAATGTGAAATTCCTATTTGAATATTTTCATAAATAAAGAAGTTACGGAGGAGACATGAAAATTATCAAAATCTGTTTTTTGCGTATAAAACAAAAACGAATAGATTTTATCAAAATATTTTTTCACTTTATAGTTGGCCTTGACAAACTTCACATTTGGTGTCATTCAACCGACTTCGTATCTCTCACCGTTAAAAAGATACCCATGGTGAGCATGGTAAGTGGGACACACTGTATTATAGTTTTCATTACCTGCCCGAGGTCTTAAAAATGATGATGATATGTCATAATCTGTAGAAAAGAAGCAGAACATATTCAAAACTAATTTGTTACCGATTCTGAGAACATCTAGAAGAGAAGAAGGTGTTGAAATTGAATTATAAGAGCAATAATTTTTACCATTTATTCATTTTACTTATTTGTAAACGGATTTTCTTAAAATTTGGTACAGTTATATGAGCAATCATTTCGGATTTGTTCACATTACAATCCAATATAGCGGATTTCCGGTGTTTCGATCTGGAAATGCCTACAACTTTGTTTTTCCAAATGGAACACCTATATCCCAAAAATTCGGAGCAGATGAATTTTATTTTGATCATGGTCGAATTCCTTCAAATTGAGAGTTTCAAAAATTTTAATGAACTATGATGTTTCAATATCTTGAGTAACTTTTCAGTAACATAATCATGAGAAAGTTGGGATATAAACTACACGGAACCAAAATTCCGATGTCAAGCAATTTTTCTGTATTACTTCTCGACGTATATATACAGAGTGCCCGTCTAAAGTCCGTTCCCCCCCTACAAATTTTTCAACCACCTGGTATATCGCACCGGAGGGCTTCAATGCGAGATAAAAACTAACTTTTTCATGAAAAAATCGGAGCTGAAATTTTCAATATGGCGACTGAGCGCCATCTTGAATATTTTATTCAAATAAAACATCACCCCGTATATTATTGAATTTTCTCCTATACACTGTTTTCGAAATATCAACGTTTGAGAGGTGAAATTTTGTTCATTTCAAAACCCAACCAAAAACACTAATGTTGCGGTCAACGGACTATTTGACAGTTATAGTTAATTTGACAATAAACAAGACTACCGCGACGATTTTCTCCAATGCAAACTTGATTGAAAGCAACATTAGTGTTTTTGATTGGGTTTGAAATGTACAAAACTTCACGTTAATATTTCTAAAATATTTGAATTTAGTAGTGAAGTTTATGGGTGAAAACTGTTGAGAATTATGTACAAATTTCTAAAATGGTATAATATATGGGGTGTTCTATTTGGAAAAAATATTGAAGATCGCGCTCAGCCGTCATTTTAAAACTTGTTGCTCTGATTTTCTCATGAAAGAGTTGATTTTCAACTCCTATTAATGCCCTTCAAATTTAGTTGCGATATACCAGGTGGTTCAAGAATTAGTATAGGGGGGAACGGACTTCAGACGGGCACTGTATATAATATATAGATGCGTTCATAGTGATTTTATTGTATAGAAAAAGAGGAGACATTTTGTTCCGATTTCTTGATCCAACATCGTTTTCACCAGAAAATGATGATTACAAATTTCTGAGGATTGCCCTAGCCCTAGATATATCGCCCGTATTTGAAAACGATGGACGTATTAATTATATATTATTCATATAATATACATTTGTTATATATATTTATTCTGTATGTTTTTCCCCAATTGCAATTTCTGAATTCTGCTATTAAAATAATTCAGATTTTACTAATTTCATCATTGAAAAAAATATAATGTATTATGGAAATGAGTGTGGCAACGCTGTTTTGGCGTGTTTAGTGAGAGTAACGCATATTTTTCTCAAA